TCTCACAATTCTGACTATTTTCTTGCTAATGCAAGTTTATATCTCCTAGTTCTGACTTTATAACTCGATTTAACTCAACAATTGCTAGTTTGTAAATTCTGAGGGAAAAAAGTCAGAAGTGTGGGATATAAACTCATGATTCTCAGCCCAGGGAAAAGAGAATGACGAGATTATTTTTTCAGAATTGTGAGATACAATCTCGGAAATGCGAGAAAAAAGTCAAAATTTTGAAATATAATCTCAAAATTACCTTTTTTATACTTTTATTCCATGGCTTCCATAGAATGCTACTGCTAACTGTAATTTTCTGCCACCAGATAAGCTCCGCCCACAAAAAAAACATCATCACTGTAGCGAATCAGCTCATGGGGAATTATGAATAATTAATCATAACTAGTTATAATTAATTATAAATATTTAGATCCGCTGTAGATATTTACTTGACCTCTCAGTGTCGACTGTCTGTCAATTCTAAGAATGTTAATTTCCTGGTTAAGGGAAATAACTTTCTTACTGTACAATTCTACACCGAGCTTGTAGCATAAATCTGCATGATTAAGTGACTCCAGTTATGAGCAAACAATGAACAACCTATTTGCAAACACCAAAATTGGTCTATTGGCCATGGCATACATTTTGACATTGACGAGTGCTGATAGACCACTGAGGCAGACCGGCCTAAAATGTAATGTAGTAATGTAGTGTAGCAGAGCAGTTATATCAGGAATATCAAATGTGGCACCTTTGTACCTTTTTTCTGAATATATATAATAAGTATATAATAAGTATTTTACTGACTTCTACCAAATTTGTCAGTCTGTCCATATTCACTATTTTTCCTTGCATAGTTGTTGTGACAAACAAATCATTCTCAGAATGGACCTTTGCCTTGGTAGCAAAGGAAGTGATCACAAGATGTACAAATGGCAATTCCTGGCTTCGTATGGTTTTACTAGTGGAACATCGTCGTGGGAAAAGAGAGCACAAGACACTGAGAATTAGGGACTAAATTGAGTGTATAGAGAGAAAAACAGAGGGAATGAGACCGATAGGAGAGGACGGAACAGAGCACAAGAAAATTTAAATGACGTTCATCACTTCAAGTGAAGTCTCGTTTAGGTTTCACAGAGAGGAAGAGAAGAACTGCGGCAAGTGCACTAGAAAAATATCACCTTATATAACACATGCAGCAAATGAGATATGGCCATTTAGCGCAGTGCATATTCAATGCATTTACAAAGTAAAATATTCCGAAATTAACAGTGTAGGATTTTGTATCTCGCGGCATTTTGTTCAACACTATGAGCTGAAATGCACCATAGTTGTTTTAGCAGTGAAACAAGCACGTTTGCAGTATAGCTGACTTTGGTTTCTCGTGTGATCTGCAGCAAATGGCACAAGTGCAGTGGTTTTAGGGTGGAGGTTAGGGCAGGACAGGAGGGCAGATGACCCTCTCAGGGGGAACTTCAGCCCCCACTTTAGCCAGCAAGAGTTCACAGTACTGTCATGCTGTCCACACATCAGCATTTACAGGAAAGGATAGAGAGTAAAGAGAGAGAAAAAAACTGCTGAGCTTGCACACTAGATGGAGTGGTGAAAATTTAACTAGCCTGATGAAAGCATAACTTTGCATGTGAAGTATTTTAAAAGAGAAAGAGACAGATTAAGGAGGAGAGGTAAGAGATGAGTAAGCAGTAAGAATTGAGAAAGACTGGTAATAGGAAAAGGACAGGAGAAAACGACGAGACTACTATATAATGAAAGCAGACTAAAGTTTAAAGTATACTTACATTTTGACATAAACACAGTATGTGTACAGCAGGATGCATAGCCTTTTAAAGTATTCTCCATTCTTCGCGAGCACAAGCGCTCGACACATGGAAAGTTTTTTTCCAGTGTCTGCACTATTTCTCTCCAGAAATTATGAACGATAAAAGTGTCTTCAGTTGCCTGAATCTCTTAACCCCTTGCGTCAACGCAGGTGTCTATTGTTGTTGCCATTTCCAGTAGTTTGTTGTTGTTCTATCTATAGATAGAAAAATTTGTCTGCACACGTACAGTATGAGTGTACTATGCTGATGATGAAATTACATCACATACACTTTAAGCTTGAAGTGGATAGTTGGAAAATAATTTCCTGCTTTGAAACAAGAGGTAAAAGTCCAAAGTTTGAGCAGCTACTAAAAATATTCCTCTAATCATGTCAAACTAGCAATAATAATATGGCACTCAAACATCGCAGCCCAAAATATAGGCATCATTCTTCCCATAAACCTATGAATGAGTTAGGAGAACTGTAAAGTGTATGAGTCATATGATATTGACAGTATTAACGTGATAGTTCACTCAAAGAATTATGAAAAAAAAAAATTTTTAAATAATTTCTCACCCCATGTCATTCCAAAATGATCTGATTTTTATCACAAAAGGAGATATTTTGAAGAATATTTCTACCTATTGAAACTTACTACATCAAAGCATTAGGTTGCACCATGTTTGATCCAAAACAACAATAAACACTACAGGTTTTTGCTTCAGTATGTTTCAATACATAGAAGTGCAAATTTCAGCACTATGGCAGAGGAAAGATTGCAAATGAAATGTGTCAGTAATTTCAAACTCAGAGTTACTGCATAGCTTACTGCAAAGTTACTGCATAGCTTTATAAGAATTGGAATATAAAAAAACAGGAAAAGTAAGAAGATTGGTACATACAGGTGCATCTCAATAAATTAGAATGTCATGGAAAAGTTAATTTATTTCAGTAATTCAACTCAAATTGTGAAACTCGTGTATTAAATAAATTAAATGCACACAGACTGAAGTAGTTTAAGTCTTTGGTTCTTTTAATTGTGATGATTTTGGCTCACATTTAACAAAAACCCACCAATTCACTATCTCAACAAATTAGAATACTTCATAAGACCAATAAAAAAATTTTTTTAGTGAATTGTTGGCCTTCTGGAAAGTATGTTCATTTACTGTACATGTACTCAATACTTGGTAGGGGCTCCTTTTGCTTTAATTACTGCCTCAATTCGGCGTGGCATGGAGATGATCAGTTTGCGGCACTGCTGAGGCGGTATGGAAGCCCAGGTTTCTTTGACAGTGGCCGTCAGCTCATCTGCATTTTTGGTCTCTTGTTTCTCATTTTCCTCTTGACAATAGAGAATAGAGAATCTATGGGGTTCAGGTCTGGTGAGTTTGCTGGCCATTCAAGCACACCAACACCATGGTCATTTAACCAACTTTTGGTGCTTTTGGCAGTGTGGGCAGGTGCCAAATCCTGCTGGAAAATAAAATCAGCATCTTCTTCTCCACCCTTCCTCCAGACTCTAGGACCTTGGTTTCCAAATTAAATACAAAACTTGCTCTCATCTGAAAGGAGGACTTTGGACCACTGGGCAACAGTCCAGTTCTTTTTCTCCTTAGCCCAGGTAAGACGCCTCTGACGTTGTCTGTGGTTCAGGAGTGGCTTAACAAGAGGAATATGACAACTGTAGCCAAATTCCTTGACACGTCTGTGTGTGGTGGCTCTTGATGCCTTGACCCCAGCCTCAGTCCATTCATGTTGAAGTTCACTCAAATTCTTGAATCTATTTTGCTTGACAATCCTCATAAGGCTGCGGTTCTCTCGGTTGGTTGTGCATCTTTTTCTTCCACAATTTTTCCTTCCACTCAACTTTCTGTTAACATGCTTGGATACAGCACTCTGTGAACAGCCAGCTTCTTTGGCAATGAATGTTTGTGGTTTACCCTCCTTGTGAAGGGTGTCAATGATTGTCTTCTGGACAACTGTCAGATCAGCAGTCTTCCCTATGATTGTGTAGCCTAGTGAACCAAACTGAGAGACCATTTTGAAGGCTCAGGAAACCTTGGCAGGTGTTTTGAGTTGATTAGCTGATTGGCATGTCACCATATTCTAATTTATTGAGATAGTGAATTGGTGGGTTTTTGTTAAATGTGAGCCAAAATCATCACAATTAAAAGAACCAAAGACTTAAACTACTTCAGTCTGTGTGCACTGAATTTATTTAATACACAGTTTAATACACAATTTGAGTTGAATTACTGAAATAAATTAACTTTTCCACGACATTCTAATTTATTGAGATGCACCTGTATGTGGTACTTTATAGAGCTTTTGTTTGGTTCATTAAAGCTTTCCTGCAGCTCAGGAAACAGTTAGGAAATAGCAGAGCATGGTGATATATGCCAGTGTCATGAGTTCAATTCAATTCCCTGAGAAAGCATGAAAATGCATACCTTGAATGCAATGTAAGTTGCTTTTGGATAAAAGCATCTGCCTAATGTAAATATAAAATGTCAATTTGGAGCTTGACACCTTCTAGTCACTGTGTGCTTTCAATGTATGGAAAAGATCCACATTAACATTCTGCAAAATATCTCCTTTTGTGTTCCACAGAAGAAGGAAAACAGGTCTAGAAAGACACGAGGATGAGAAAATGATAACAGAATTATAATTTTTGTGTGAACTATCCCTTTAAGCTACACAGACATCGAGTTGAAGAACTAATTGGTGAGTTGAAGGCTGTCTGTCCTAAAAACATTCATTAACACGTTCACTTGTCATTTCATGGCTCGAATAAAGCCAACTCTTCTTGAAGTCTCACTACGAGCATATTTTGTTAAAGCGTGTGTATGGCAGCATCTGTAAATGTCTCTGGTCCTGTTTAGTCTTGGAGTACAAGAGTGTTTGTGTTAGGTACAAGTGTTTGGTGAGAATCTTGACCTGGGATTGCTCTTCCCCAAGCATTTTAAAGGGTGTGGGAGCTGTTCACTCTACTGCCAAAGTGTTGATTGTCAGTAGTCACTGTGCTCAGTGGAGAACAGCTGCTACAATCACCACAAAAGACAGCTTTCTTCATCCATCTCGTTTCCTCTCTCACTGCCTTTTACACAGATGAATTCAACAAGTAACAGTCTAGAGTTCAAAACATCTTATACTCATCCCGCCTTCTCTCTCTCTCCATCTGTAGGAGCCGTACGAGCGTCTAGTATCTTCCCCATCCTCAGCGTCATCCTGCTCTTCATGGGTGGCCTGTGTATAGCTGCCAGCGAGTTCTACAAGTCTCGTCACAATATCATCCTCAGTGCAGGAATCCTCTTTGTGTCTGCAGGTGAGTCTATGGAATGAAGGAAGAGATACAAAAGTCCATGTAAACATACGGTACACTTGTAAAACCCAGATTCTTTTGTTTGCTATACAAATACCTTGTACACCTGGTTTCTACTAAAGCATTCAGATTTATTATAATTTCTGAGCAGTATTTGACCATTTTAAAACTTTTGAGCTCCTGTATGTCACTGATAAGCATCACACACACTCTTTAGAAATACATTATATTGCATAAAGCCCAATCAGGGCTCAACAGTTCAAGGACTTTTTCTGTTTGCCCACACATACCAGCAAATTTCTACTTGCCTACCATTTAATAATCTTTTTTATTATTATTAATTGAAGCTTGGTATTAAAATCGAATTCAGAATTTTACATTTACATGTACAATTTTAATATTTATTTTAAATGTATACATTTTAGATGTATTATTAGTAATATTATTAGTAATATTGTGAAATATTATTACAATTTGAAGTAACAGTTTCTTATTTTAATATATTTAAAAGTAATTTATTCCTGTGATGGCAAAGCTGAATTTTCAGCGGTCATTACTACAGTCTTCAGTGTCACATGATCCTTTAGAAATCATTATATTATGCTGATATGTTGCTCATTTCATAGTAATATTAACATTGAAAAGCTGTGCTGCTTAATATTTTTGTAAAAACTGTAATACATTTTTTTCAGGATTCTTTGATGAACAAAGTTCAAAAGAACAGCATTTAAAGGGATAGTTCACCCAAAAATGAAAATGTGCCTATTATTTACTCACCCTCAAGCCATCCTATATGACTTCCTTCTTTCAAATGAATCCAATCGGAGTTATATTAAAAATTTACTTTGATCTTCCAAGCTGTTTAATGGCAGTCAGAGGGTGTTGCAGTTCATCAGTCCAAAAGAAGTGAAATAAAGCGCATCCATCCATAATAAAAAGTGCCTCACACGGCTCCGGGGGGTGAACAAAGGCCTCCTGTAGCGAATCAATGCGTTTTTGTAAGAGAAATATCCATATTAAAAACGTAATAATCACTCTAATCTAGCTTGCGCCAACAGTTGTACACAGAAGCAGTTCCGGGAGGATGACGTAAGATGTTAGCATTGCGCACGGTTTCACGGTGAGTCTCGTGAAAACCAACCTTTGTTTACAGGAGCAAAGGATGCAAAGTTTCCTTACTTTAGCAAAGGAAAACTAGTCTTCTCTTGAATTATATTGAAATCCTCCATCATTGTTCTTTACAAATCTTCGTTTTGTACTTCTAATTTGTGAACATTGTTTTGATCTCTCCCCTGCACTTCTGCATTCGTCACTTCTGAGCGGCGCATGCGCAACGCCGACATCTTAAGTCATCAGCCTGGAGCTGCTTCTGTTTACAACAGTGAGCGCAAACTAGATTAAAATGATTATTACGTTTTAAATATGGTTATTTTTAGGAATGCACCGATACCGCTACTGGTATCGGTATCGGGCCCGATACTGAGCTCCTGTACTCGTACTCGTTAAAATGCCCCGATACCAAACGCAGATACCACACAGCATGTGATAAGTGCCATATTCAGACAAAGAAACACAGACAACAGACAGCAGAATGGAGTTATTCGAGATTAAAGATGTCTACGAAGTATATGTATACAATGAATATAAAACAAAGAATATATATAGTATTAATGCCTGTATAGCTGATGTGTGCGAGCTTTTAAGCAAATCACGCAGAGTGGATTGAGTGCTTGGCGGTGCAGATGCGCGAGCTTGTCGAGTGAATATCCCTTTCTCACAGACATCACTGGAAAGCTTGTAGTTCGGTCGGATATGTCAAAAAGAAGTAAGTAAAACAATGCACAAGTTACTTAATAGTAGGGAGAGAGAGCGAGAGCGCGCACTTCTGTTGTGTGATCTTTATTGATGTTCACTCACTTAGCACAAGCATCATTTGGATTAAAACTAAATCGTAAATATAAGACAATTTATAGGGGCATTCAGTATAAACGTCATTTATTTTCACCCTTAAGCATATACGACCTTCTGGCGAAAGTGAATCTAACAGCCTGTGTGAAATGCGCTAGGCTGTACTTCTTGTCCCTCTCATTCCACACCAGTACAAATACGTGTGCGAGGTGCGCGTGTTTTGCTTGCTTTAGTGTTTCTGCATTATATGAGTGGCTTTGGAAAATAAATCGCTGCACGTTTCAGATGAAAAAACGCGACTTCTATTTATGAAAATATCACAGTTAGGAGATTTATAGCGAGTAAAATGATTATTACGTTTTAAATATGGTTATTTTTAGGAATGCACCGATACCGCTACTGGTATCGGTATCGGGCCCGATACTGAGCTCCTGTACTCGTACTCGTTAAAATGCCCCGATACCAAACGCAGATACCACACAGCATGTGATAAGTGCCATATTCAGACAAAGAAACACAGACAACAGACAGCAGAATGGAGTTATTCGAGATTAAAGATGTCTACGAAGTATATGTATACAATGAATATAAAACAAAGAATATATATAGTATTAATGCCTGTATAGCTGATGTGTGCGAGCTTTTAAGCAAATCACGCAGAGTGGATTGAGTGCTTGGCGGTGCAGATGCGCGAGCTTGTCGAGTGAATATCCCTTTCTCACAGACATCACTGGAAAGCTTGTAGTTCGGTCGGATATGTCAAAAAGAAGTAAGTAAAACAATGCACAAGTTACTTAATAGTAGGGAGAGAGAGCGAGAGCGCGCACTTCTGTTGTGTGATCTTTATTGATGTTCACTCACTTAGCACAAGCATCATTTGGATTAAAACTAAATCGTAAATATAAGACAATTTATAGGGGCATTCAGTATAAACGTCATTTATTTTCACCCTTAAGCATATACGACCTTCTGGCGAAAGTGAATCTAACAGCCTGTGTGAAATGCGCTAGGCTGTACTTCTTGTCCCTCTCATTCCACACCAGTACAAATACGTGTGCGAGGTGCGCGTGTTTTGCTTGCTTTAGTGTTTCTGCATTATATGAGTGGCTTTGGAAAATAAATCGCTGCACGTTTCAGATGAAAAAACGCGACTTCTATTTATGAAAATATCACAGTTAGGAGATTTATAGCGAGTGGTTCCCTGCATTATTACAGCAAAGCGCGTGATTACAGTACTGAGCCGCTGCAATGGAGCAGCTCTACTGCTATTAAATTAAAGATGATGTAGGCTACCATAGAGAGAGAAAAAATGAACAGTGAAAGTAACACAAACTTGTAAAATACATTTTAATGGGCATAATTAAGTGTGAAAATAACAGAAGGTTTGGTTTGAAAAGTCAAACCAAAAATTATTCCGAGACCAGATATAATTTTTTATATTTTTTATACTAGTGGGTGCAGGACACTATAGCTCATTTATGTAAAGTGAGGATAGCAAAATAAACTAAACTGTGACAAATTATACCCAAAAAAAATTCTAAACTATAGCGAATAAACTGTGATAATGTGAGAAATGTTGAAGGTGTCTGATTAAACGTTGGTTTGACAGTATCTATTTGATAAATGAAGTTAACCAACTAACATTATTCATACTCTTTTGGTTTCTATACCCAATATTTAAAAAAAATGTACAAATGCAATGAAAATTGGATCAGTACTCGGTATCGGCAAGTACCAAAAATAAAAGTATCGGTATCGGGCGAGTACTGGAAAAAGTGGTATCGGTGCATCCCTAGTTATTTTTCTTACAAAAACACATCGATTCGCTACAGAAGGCCTTTGTTCACCCCCTGGAGCCGTGTGAGGTAGGGTTGTGCTGAAAGACGATAGTATCGTGTATCGACGATAGTCAGAGATATTGACGATAGCACGTCTTTGTCGATAGTTAAGACGATATTAGGCTCATTCTCCTATAAATGTATTAAATTATTATTATTATTAGGATTAATTTCTTATAAAACTTACTAAGATTACTATATCTTACTGACTACAATTTTTTTGAACGCAAGTCTATATATAAATGATGAAATTAAAAATATATATATTTTATCGTTTTCACAAATGTTTTTTTCTTTAAAGATAAAGTTTGCATTAGGTGCTGGAAATTATACAGTTACACAGATACTCCGAGATACAGTGGGGAAAAAAAGTATTTAGTCAGCCACCAATTGTGCAAGTTCTCCCACTTAAAAAGATGAGAGAGGCCAACATTATCAGAAAATAATGGTATACCTGGAAAAACATGACTAATTAGTTTGTCATTTTCAAACCCGTCTTACTCATGCTACCCCAAATTATTTTTAACCTCATCTAGCCTGTCAGTTTTACCAAGGTGACAAGTTGACGATCAGAATTTGCAACTAAATGTAAAAGAAAACTTGATGTTTAGGTTTGTAAGACATAATTCATACACCTGATCAAACTGTTTAAGATGTTGCACTGATCCAATAGGGTAAGTGACAGATCAGTCAACTAACATAAAACTCTCTCACAAGGGCCCTCAATACTGTTTAGCAGTGCAATTCAGTAAAACAAACATTTTCTGAAACCAACAGCTTTGGCCTTAATGCCCAGATCAGCACAGTATCACTTAGTCACAAAGTCTTGCACTAGACTTTTTCGAACAAGCAGCCTCAGTGCTATACTGTAGCCAGTTAGCAAGTCGATTTCTTTTTCTGTGTCTCTCTTTGGTCCAGATTCTGTTGCTAGGCTTAGAGAGGCCGTTTGGGATTAAACTCTAAAAATATGGTGTCCCTGACACACTTTCCCAGTGATCCATCATGGTGATTTCACTCTGTCACAGACAACTCCACCAGAGTGTGACTGAAGTCAGCAGTGAGCCACAGATCATGTTCCTGTGAGGTCACCCACTCTAGTCTCTGTTCTAAGCTCACTTCTTCACTCTGATCTCCTCATTTACTTGCTCACTCTGACAAATTAAAGCACTCAGCATTTAGTTTATGGCTAAGGGGTTAAGGATAGTGTGAAACTGACTGTGTTAACCTTACCATTTAGAGGGCAGTTACACTTTATTTTGTAAGGCATAGAGATGACAGTAAGATTCTGTCATCCTCAGCTACATCCAGGGTCTTAAATTAACTTTTTGCCATTCAATAGAGAATTTATCAGCTGTGAAAATCTATTTTCATGCTATTATTATTTACATTTTATATTTTTTTCTCATTAAATTTGGCTAAATTAATCAATTTCATAATTGTTTCATCCACAGTGCAGATCACAGAAATGATTAAACATCAAAGATAAACTTCTGATGATAAACTTACCACTGAGGTTTAATTTAAGACACACAATGTATTTGAATGTTTTCCTAGAAAACAATTTGTGTATCTTTATCACTTAAACCATGTATAATATTGCAAATCTTGTTTAAGATCTATTCAAAAACACAAACATTTATTCCGACAGTAACTTTGTGTTTCTGAATTAAAATTCATTTCAAGAAAATTCATTTGTTTAATCTTCAAATGTTGTGAACACAAAAAGCTCATTTGTCTTTTTTTTTAATCACTGAACAGCACCCATTAAACTTAGTCAGGGACTTTATATTGTTGGAAAATGATGGCACTTTTAGCAATTTTTATAAAAGGCACACAAAGACGTGTTGCACTCCCTGAAAAAAAAAAAAACATTTTAGGTTGTCACTGTCACTGTAAGGTGTCACTGCAGCGGTACCCTTGGGTTTAAAAAAATATCTCCTCTCTTCCCCACAGGCCTCAGTAACATCATTGGCATGATCGTGTACATATCAGCCAATGCGGGGGATCCTTCAAAGAGCGACTCCAAGAAGAACAGCTACTCGTATGGCTGGAGTTTCTACTTTGGTGCTTTGTCCTTTATCATGGCTGAAATGGTGGGTGTGCTGGCTGTGCACATGTTCATCGACCGGCACCGGGAGCTGCGGGCGGGTGCACGGGCTGCAGATTACCTGCAGGGCTCAGCTATCACACGCATTCCCAGCTACCGGTACCGCTACCGGCGCCGCTCCCGCTCCTCATCCCGCTCCACAGACCCCTCGCACTCCCGCGATGCCTCACCAGTGGGCTTGAAGGGTTTCGGGGCTCTGCCCTCCACCGAGATCTCCATGTACACACTCACCCGTGGGGGCGACACCTTAAAGGGTGGTCATGGCACCCCCACCGCCACCTACAATTCAGAGAGGGACCACAACTTCCTGCAGGTCCACAACTGCATCCAGAAGGACCTGAAAGACTCATCCCACACTAACACAGCCAACCGACGCACCACCCCCGTATGAGGCACAACCTCGCCCTATACAGATAGCAGTGCGAGGGAGACAGGAGCAGGGCAGAGGGGGGGCGGAGGCCCGAAATATTACAGATCAAACTTCATGTACCATGCGTTTTCACGATTTGGAGGAACCAAGAGGATTTTTTACGTTTCGATCAAAGACTACACATGTATGCATGATTTTGCCATTGACAAAATGAGGCTGGTTTGAAATGGAGAGAGGCTATAAAAGATATGCAGAAGGGTTTTTTTGGCCCGTGACATGGGAGCTGTAGCTTGTGGCATTGATTTGATATGTTTTTGTTAAGGAAGCATTTCACCACCCTTCGGTCTACATGGATCAGCAAGCTACTGCTCTCTCATAAGTCTTCTTCCTCTCTCCACTATATTCATCATATTTGTTTATTTGTTTATTTGCTATTTGCATTTAAAAAAAAGAAACTGTGAACAACTGCAGTAAGGTATTCAGTAAGACATAGCCCGGTCTGCAATCTCTTACAAAAGGTACAATATATATACATATAGTATATATATATATATATATATATATATATATATATATATATATATGTGTGTGTGTGTGTGTGTGTATATATTAATATATTAATTAAATTAACATAATAATCAAGACTTTTCTGAGGCAAAAAAGTGAAACCGCTGTTTGCTGGGTAATGATCTGTTGGAAAAGAGACTCTGTGTCGCTGAGCTGTGACTGTAGCCAGACGATGGACGAAATCACAGAGAATCTTCACTGCAAAGCTGCTGTAACACGAGACTGACAAAGACGTTCAACATTAGACAATTTTATTCTTTTAAAAGAACCTTCTCATCTTTTTCTCAGTCCCTGTTTGCTTCCTTTTTTTTTCTCTACTCTCGTCATGGGAGCGAACGACAGAAAAACAAATGAAAACCCCTTCACTGGCACGAGCGACAAAAAGGGGTCAGAGTTCGCTGAAAGACTCCAGAAACGACTGCCAAGACGAAAAAAAGGAAGGAGGAGGGGGAGGAAAAGAAGAGGATGCTGAACTCTAAATAAATACTTGCAAAAATGCAAGCGACAAATAAAGTACGAAATATTACAAGAAGCGAAGCTAAGTGACTCACGAATACAAAGATTAAATGCATGCTATAAATTTACAGCAAACCTGCTCTTGAAACTTAAGTTTTAAAGGATAATGATAATTATAAAGGGAAAAGCAATGTTAAAAAAAGTTAAATATTAATGTTTTGTGTACTCTTTCTGTTTTGGTTTTTATTACTATTAATTATTATTATAATTAATCATTATAATAATATACTTTGGTGATAAACCAAGCAAACAAATTATGACAAAACTGCTTTTTTAATTCTGAGTTGCTTCTTTGTATCCACGTGTATTTCTTTTACTCAATTTTTCTCAGAATCACACGCCTTAGCCATTTCGTATTTCTTTGGATTCATTTTAAACTTGTTGTTTTATTTGAAATGAAATCTAAAGGTGCCAAAACAGAATGATCCTAAACTTGGATGCATCAAGTCCTGATGAATAAACAGACAAACCCAAGGGGGAACAAACTCGCTGCTTCTCTGTGTTTGCAAACCCTCACGCACCTGACGAAGTCTCGAGCGCCATTCAAACCAGCAGGAAAGCAGGCCGTGTTGCGAGCGAGCACGAGGCTTTCCAAATGAGTCAGACGTGAGTAAGTAACAGTAGGGAAGTGAAGTAACAGGCCACGTAATTACTCATCTGTTCCAGGCTCTATATGTGGGAAACGGTCTCTTAAGAATGTAATGTATCTGTTGCGCTAATAATGAGTGTGAGTGACTCGGCATGTTTTGCTTTGCTCTGATGGAGCAAAAAGGGAAAAAAAGGATGTGGCGGGAAAGTGTGCCATGTTCCAGTGAACCAGAACACAGGTTTCTAATAAAACATGTGACCTACTCAAGTGTTCTCCTACAACTAGCATACTAAAAGCATCACTTTCTTTCCCGAAGACCTGCGCGTAACAGGTCCTGATTTATGCGTAGGACAGAATTGCTTCAGAGAGCAGCAAAGGGCTTGAGTTTTACTTTGGGAATTAGTTCATATAGGCTAAGCATAAATTCATTTTTGCTGCTATACATATTGGATTCATGCCTTCTTAATATATGCCGAAATCTGACTCGCCATCTATAAGCGACAGCCATTTTGTGAGTCTTCCCTTGACCAAGGAGGCAGAGAGAGTGCGAAATTACAACCACACACAAGCAGTGTTTTATGCCTTTTTCAGTTCTCTGAATTAAAATGCTTCCCTCATTCTCCCACTCCATGTATTCCCTCATCCATTTCCCTCCATCTTGTTGGGCCAACATGCTTATCCTTAATTTGCCTCCCCTGCACAATCTCTCATTTTCCTCTGTGAATCATCTACTTGCATACTACACCCCCTCCCCCATCTATCGCTCTTGCTTATTTCTTTTCCTCTCGCTCTCTTCTACATCTATCCTCCTCTCCGTTACACATTCATCACTCGCTCTGTCCTTTTTCACCTTCACCACAGTCCGACGTCTCTCGCATCAACTTTCCCATCCTTCACATCCGGCAAATCAAATTCTACCCCCCAGCTCCCGTTCTCCTCATTACAATATTGTAGAAAAAGGGAAAAAAAATCACCAGATTTAAACAGACTAATCAATCATCAGGTAATAGCCTCTTCATCCCCGAGATCAAGATTACCGGCTGATGAATGAACATGCTCACTCTTTAGTTTCCTCTAAATGAGCCGCTGTCTCTCAAACTATGCAATGGCAGTACATATTGAAGCAGCATGTTTGCTGCCGCTGCTCTTATTTTGACTGTGCTTTACATATTTGTGTTTAGACAGATATTAGTTCTCAACCGGGGGGGGGGGGGGGGGGGGGGCAGAGG